GGTAAATGAGGCATTGGAGTAAATGAGCTCTTACACACTCCCAGTCCCATGATTTTTCTCCCCCCATCTTTCCATCGTGGTTATATCACAGTTTTTGGTTTAATCAGTATGTGGATTCATGTTACTATGTTATACAAATATTGTTCATTGATACTTTCCATTGCCAAGCAGAATAATAAGGTTGTATTTCCTTTCTTTACATTGTTTTTCTAAGGTCAATATTTCTCTCTTTCAGTCTGACCCATGGTTTTCAGTCTGGGAAATTTTCTGGCATTATTTCCTAACTTCTTTATTCTCCCTGATTTCTATGCATTGGTTCATGTCCTGATGTTCCTTAAAAAAATCCTCCTGTTTCTCATTTCAGTGATGTAATATCTTTGTTATCTCAGAGTGAGGTTTTTTAATTGCGGATTTTTAAAAGTTAGGTGCTTTATCTTATTCTCTCTTCCTTTTGTATTGGTCTCTATTTTTCATGTTAGAGTCTTTCCTGAAATGTTTGGTGATAATTTCACTGTCTATTCATATTTGAAAGTAAGGTACTAAAAAGCTGACATCGCTGTGTTATGTGTGAGCAGGGCTTGTCTAGATTTGAACTCTTTTTTAGCTGGGGACACTCAGATATCCGTATCTTTGGTTCTCTTGTCAGGAATCATTAAATTTCTCCAGAGGAAAAATTCTTTGATTGCCTGACCAATGGCTTTAAGTCTGGCTGCTGGCATTCCGGAAGACAGGGGCTGGAGTCTCAGTGCTGAGTATGTGAATTATGTTTCATCCCTTTTTTGCCCTGGTGACCCTGCCAGCTTCCTTTGCTGTACCTACTGCCTCTGCATCTTCTGATCTCTGTCTGTCTGGTTTAGTTCTCCAGAAACTGCTGGAAGGATCTCCCCTTAGGAGGGTCTCCTGTAGATGTTTGGTAGAGCGGTCACTTGCTTCCCTAAGTTAGGCAGAGGACCCAGCTGTTTTAATCGCTTCTTATAGAGACTTTAAATTGGTTCTTTTGTTTTCAGCCTTATGCTTTGCTGCCATCCTCTAAAGTTCTGAGGGCCGGTAGTCTCTGAGCCTTTCCTGGATTTTGTTTCTAATTAGTATTGGGCACTTAGGATTCAGTTTCCTCCAGTTTGTTAAAACAGTTACCACTCCCTCATCCACTTCTGTCTTCCAACAATTTGTTGACATCTCTTCTCCAGTGTTATTGCCTCTCCTCCTTGTCTTTGTGGTTTTATGTATTTTATTTAGTGGGGTTTTGAAAGGGAGTGTGTCATTTCACTATAAATAAATTAATGTCAAGTTTTAGGATCTTAAGTTTGTTTCTCAAAATTGGGCTCCCACTCCCCTCCCTTATGAGACTTTGATAATAATTTTGTCTTTTAAAAGGGGATCTGTACATTACCCCCATTTGAGAAGCAATGGATTTGGGTGTCCGACATTGTTAAACAGTGATTGAGCTGGTTTATCGCCTACTCTTCTCGCCCTAACTTCATTTGCAGTGAGTGCTAGGAAAGAAGGCCCACCTATTGCTTTCTGAGGTTAAGTTAAATTCTTCAGGCATCTGGCTTCTAGCTTAGTCCCATGAATTTCTAAGCATCTCCAGTGGGTAGGTAGTAGATGTCAATAGTCACATGGATAACGTAGTCCTCTGTTCTTCTGTAAGTTGTTGAGCAAACAGTTGGAATATTTTGTATTTAATATTTCAGAATAATCACTGCAGAGATTATTGAGTGAAGGTGTGGAATCCTTCACTAAAAATTTTTGGAACTTGGATAAAGCCACCTGACCAAGATGTTAGGAGGGAAGGAAACTCACGCTGAGTTGGACAATTGGTCGGGCATGTCTGGGGAAAGAGCAGTGACCTGGAGAATCTGGGGTCCTACCTGACTTCTCTTCTCCCTGAGGTGGTTCCCTTTTTTTGCTGGGAGAGAAGTAGACCTGACAGGATGGTTTTTGTCTTCAAAAGAAAGCTCTCATCAGAAGAACTTGAGCGAAAACGGCAAGAGATGATGGAAAATGCCAAGTGGCGGGAGGAAGAGAGGCTGAACACCCTCAAGAAACATGCTAAGGATGACGAACGGGAGCAGAGACTGGAGAAGCTGGACTCTCGGGATGGGAAGTTTATCCAGTGAGTGTACCTTCTTCCTGCCCAATGGCTTTCGTGGTTACGGTCCCAAGGAGGCCGTTGGGAGGCTGGTTCATTCATTGTTTCTGTTCCAAACATTGTCCGTTCCCAGTGTTCCTGTGTCTGTGCAGAGAGAAGTGGAACTTAGTCTCCCATCTTTGTTACAACTCCCAGCTTCTGGTCAGGGAGGAGGATGTTTTTGATTTGAGAGGAGGAGAAGGGAATTGATACTTCCATTGAATCTCCTTGGCTTTCCTTTTAAATAAGAATTCATGGCTCAGGAAGTCTGTTTTCCAATGAGGGTTTGACTATTTTCCAGAAAAGATAAAATTTCCCTTTGGAACTGCTTTAAAAATTTGAGTTCCAGATGGTGTCACTCGAAAAAGTCATCTGTGTGGGTTTAAAAGGACTTGCGTTTCCACAGCCGCTCTGTGGCTAGCAACCTGTTTCTTCTCATTTTGCTAAATGACCAGTTGACACGCTTGTCACTTATATTCGTCTCTCTTCTCTCCCTAGCCGCATGAAGCTAGAGAGTGCATCAACCTCCTCCCTGGAGGATCGGGTGAAGCGGAATATCTACTCTCTACAGAGAACCTCAGTAGCTCTGGAGAAGAACTTCATGAAAAGATGAAAACCACCCTCTCCTGCTGGTTTTCCTGAATTTTCCAGGGAAGCTGCTGACCCCTTAAAAATTCTCTTTATAAGAGTTCCAGTGACTTCTTCCATAGATGTCAAACCACCACTGTTCAAAGTGACTCTCCTCCATTGATTCCTGAAATAGCTACACTTTTGAGAACTAGTGTGATTACTTTAGGGGACCCTCAGCAACTTTTGCTGAGTGCAGAGTGGATTTTGACAGTTTTTAATGGGTAGGTACTGGACCATGTAAGTGTGAGCCCTCCTGCTCTGAAAGCCTGCTCCCTGTGGTCGCGATTCTTATGCCACTTCCCTGCCACCAGTGTGAACACACCTATCCCTTTATCTCAGTATCTATGAGACCTTTCAGAAACCTCACTCTCCAGAGTCACTCAGACAGATTGTGTTTAATGAACATTTGTCTGATTTAGTACATATATGACAATGATGTCAGGTTAGGGCAGAGCCAAGGGAGTGATAAAGAACCTGGAAGGAGAAGATTTTTAAAAATCCCTAAATGAACTGTTGAACCATTGGGCTATCTTTCAAACTGTAAAAGTATTGTGTGTATATGTACAAATGGTAATTTTTACATGTTTTTAAAAAAAGGTTTGTGAGACTATCTTGTTTGGTAAATGCCTTTAATGGAACCACATTTTATCTTGTTATGGAGTAATACAGTAAGGTAGGTCAGCTTTCTTTTTTTTCCCTCTGCAAAAAAAAGGAGGGGCCTGGGGTTATTGATAGGATCTAGGGTAGCCATCTTTTAACATTGCTTAGAGTCTTGATGTGGAGAGTGCAATGATGAAGTCAAATAATGTTATGAGTCAGGACCAAATTGCCAGTGTGCTCCCTGGCTCTTAAAAAAAATGGAAGCTGTTTATTTCATAGCTTCCCTTTTATCAGGTAGTGATCTTACTACAATAATTCTAGATTTTCTGGAGTTGTTACTATTTTTTAGTCAGTTATTAAAAAACCCAAAAACTTATGGGACCAGTCTCCTGTCTTTACTCCTCTCCCTTCTCAATTCTTTTACCACAAGCCCTCATTTGACCCATGAACTTTTTCTTAGGCATTCTTGACCCACACATTAATGACGCTAATTGCTCTTCTGCTAATTCCCAATTTTGCTTAAAATGCATTTGGGTTTTTTTTTTTTTTTTGAGGGGGCGTTTATGATGCCAGGCACTGTAGTACTTAAAACCCACTCTTTCCCTAAAGAAAGTAACATATACTTGTTACTCATTTAATTACCTCATCTGTTCCCCTATGCTAGGGTTAATTATGTATTTTATTATATTACTTGGTAATAAAGGCTACATTTATTTTTGTAACTGTTTAAAGGGCGACCATGTGCTGAGAACCAAATTTACGGATTTCCACAAAGAACAGTATGACCCATCATTTGAGTCAAATACCTGGAGATCTTTGGTCCGAGAAGAATTATGTTTAGAAAGTGGGCAGTTTACTCAAGGATTTCACGAAGTGAGCCAGAAAATAAGACTATTATGCCGCTGCTGTAGTACAGGTGTCTTAGGTGCCAGCGATCTCTTCACTTGACCCTTTGGAGGGAGGAGGCCCGGCAGCAGGTGGGTGGGTGCGGAACCCATTCATAAAACCCAGGGCTCCCGGCTGGCTCCTCATTGGCCCTGGGGGAAAGGGGCGTGTCCCGCGGGTGGAGCATCGCCCTAAACCCAGGAGAGTGGGAAGATCCACGCTTGGGTGGGGCGAGGGGGCGTTCCTTGGTTTTCCCGGCAGGACTTCCTTTTCCCTTGGCTGCGTTCCTCCTCTCTCCCTCGGGGTGGGGATGGTACGTCCCACCCTCCTCACATTTCCCGCCCCTTGTCCCCTCCCGAGCGGTGGCGGTGCCGCCGCCATCTTGGCACGTCAGGTTGCGGGAAAAAGCCAAACCCTGGCTTTGGGGGCCCGGAGAGGGAGCCTCTCCTGCGTTAGACAACGAGACCCACCCAGCCCTTCTTCCCTCCTCGTTCGGGCGCAGGGCTTTGAGGCGCGTGAAGGCCGCCGGGTTCCTGTCAGGCCCGGGGAGGAGGGGCGGGCGGGGCGGCCGCTGCCTCCCCGGGACGAGCAGTACCACTCCAGCAGGGAGGAGAGGGCCTGGGGACGGCAAAGCTGCGGCACCGCCCGGAGGCGGGGTGCGGAACGGACCTGCCGTATCCCTTGGGGCGGGGCGGAGTGGGCGGAGCGTGGTGCGGACGGAACCACCGGGGCGGGGTGGGGAGGTAACGGGACGGGCGCGACCATGGCGCGGTGAGGGAGCGGGGGTGGGGATCGGTCCCGGGGAGGCCTGGGGCCGCTGGCTTGTGCGCCGTCTCGGCCTCCCCCACTTTCGCCGCCGCCGCCGCCGCCCTGGGCATGTCGTCGAACTGCACCAGCACCACGGCGGTGGCGGTGGCGCCACTCAGCGCCAGCAAGACCAAGACCAAGAAGAAGCATTTCGTGTGCCAGAAAGTGAAGCTATTCCGGGCCAGCGAGCCGATTCTCAGCGTCCTGATGTGGGGGGTGAACCACACGGTAACCAGCTTGCCCGCGCGCTCCCACGCCCCCCGCCTTCGCCCCGCGGGCCCTGCCATTGACCCCTGCAACCCCTCGCCTAGCCACTTGCACGCCCACCCTACCCTTGCACGCCGTCCCGGTCGGGTGTGCACTCCCCGCGCGCCACGAGAGGCCTGGTGTCTCCGTGGTATGCCGTCGCCGCCCCCCTTCTCTCAAGCCCCTCTGGCTTCCTGCGTCTGGTGTGCTCGCGTCGGGCCGCCCCTGGAGCGCAGAGGAAAGGCCTGGGTGCGATGGAATCGCCTTCATCCCCTCGCCCTCTCTTCTCACCTCACCCTGTTTGTTGCATGTGTTTATCCCCTTGTTCCTTACAACCCGCTGCCTGTCCAGGTGACAGGGCAAGTGGCATTGGCCAGCTTGACTGCCTCTCTATTTCTGGTCCTGTGGTTGGTGTGGCTGCTCAAAGTTTCCCATCCTCCAGACCTTACCCCTGACTATGGAAATCCTTCTTGGGTTTTCTTTTTTATTATTGAACAAGATGTATCAGCTGGAGAAGGGCAGGCTTCCTTAAACCACAGACACTTTACCAGGGTCTTCCTGGGTTAGGGAGGAGAGAGAATGTAACCATCTGAAAGAAGGTGAGGCCTGATTATAAGGACTATTAATAGTAGAAATGTTTTCTTGCATTCTCCTATGGTGCTCATGTCAAAGACTGACTTCTCATTTATTTAGCTTTCTATTGTATAGTCATGAAAGGTGTGATAATGGATGGTGATTAGGATGAGAGAGGTCCCCTGGATGTTTGGGGTGCTTTGAGATTGTCCAATAGTCCCTGTCAGCAAGTTGGAGCCCAGCCCAGTGTTTGTGCTGGGTGACTTTGTTTACGTCCTGTTTGTTTAGGGTCTTTCCTCCTCTTCCGACTGCTTGCTCCTTGCATTCTGACCATTTCATTGTGATTCCCTACACCAGGAATGAGTAGAGAAAGTAAAAGGTCCAGAAACAACCAACTTTACTAACTAAAAGTTTGGAATGAGAACGATGACGCTAATGGCCTGGATTTCCTGTGCCTTCCGGCTTTTTGGTCCCCCTGACTTTTCCCAGTACTTGAAATTACCCTTAAGACCAAAGGAGGAGGGAGGGCTTGAGGGTCAATAAGGCTTCACTTTGCTTTGATGGAGAAACCTTTGGTTGGCGATTGATAAACCATTGTCTGAGCCAGGGTTGTAGATCTTTGCATCTAATACAGAAAAGCACTTGTGTATGGTGAGGTCTTTGTTGGTTTCTTTGTCTTGGGCAGGCCACTGTTTTCAGTACTGGGGTGTGAGGGTCCTGGCCAGGGTAGGGAGTCCCACTGGTTTAATGCCCAGACCTCTGGGAGCTGCTTCTGGCCAATAGTCCAGCAGAGTTTGTTCTTTCTGCTTCTTGCTGCCTCAGGGGTCATTTGACAACATTGCAAGGGAATCTGGGTCACCAAAATGTGAGCCCTGTGTCCCTGCCTAGAAGTTAGCCCTTGATTTTGTTCTACTGCCTGCTTCTCATTAGAAAGCATCCTATCTGTGCAGAGAACTGGTAGAGATCCGAGAGTTAGGAACATTACAGCTAGCCAGACAGGACCTTAGGTCCCTTATTTTATACATGAAGAAATGGAAGCCCCAGGTGGAGGATTACCTTGCCTGCAGTCACACCAAAAGATGCAGCTCACTGTCCAGCACTGTGGGCTGTGCTGGCTAGTGGTCATGCTTGAGGGGCAGGTCTCCTTTTCTTTGCCTCCTGCTCCTTGTCCTGTCTCTCAGCCCAGTGCCAGGACAGTTGGGAGTTACAGTCTTGTTGGAGAACCTGAATGTATGCTCAAGTGTGTGTGCCTGTGTGTGCCAGTCCCGGGGGGGGGGGGTGCTTGATTTTCTGACAGGCAGGTAATCAGTCTGCTCCAATGGGAGCATCAGGTGGAAGCCTCAGGATGGCAGATGGATGGGTATCTGTGATTCCTTCTCTGCTGGACTAGGCGGTCACCCTCTTTCTTTGCTAACTTTAAGAAAATTTGAAGGCTAGTTGAAAAGGCGTAGACTGTAAGCAAGGGCCATGGCTCTGGGAATAATGAGCACGCGCCTCAGGGGAAACGTTCTGTGCCTCACTGCCCCGGACTGCTGAGCTTCAAAGGGTCAGTTAGTCCCAAGTTTTATTGCTTCAACTCAGGTTGCAATAAGCCTAGTACTGAAAGGTCCCCAATTGGGAAATGGAGGCATCTCCCCAGAAGAAGAATATAAAATCCTGGTATTCTCTAGGGGCTCATCAGGACCACCTTGTTCTTAGTGGATTGCCAGCCTTCCTCAGAGATTCCCTTACTTCAGAAGCCTGCTGTTGTGGTTTTGCAGTCTGAGGTTTCAGGTGTCACCTTTTCTTTGATTCTTTAGTTTCTCACCCATTTAGGCATTTAGGCCCTGATGGTCTATGGCTGATGGTGTATGAGATAGGAAGGGGGGATATGTCTTTATCTACAGTAAAGTTAGTTACTCTCTCATGAAGTGGTTCATTTACTTCTGGGTGGGAAAAGAGGGGTCTTTGAGTTCCGTGTGGTCACATGAGCTGCTGTTGTGGACAAGGATACAGCCCGTGGATGAGGTGGAGGAAGACTGTGTAGGAAACAGGGAGAAAAATCAGAAGACTTTGGATCTGTCAAGGGAGAACTAACAAAGAGAACAAACCAGTGTTTCAGTGGATGAAAACTGTTCAAAGAGTATAGTTAGGGAAGAGACAGGGGCGGGGCACAGAGATCAGAAGAGGCAGACCCAGCAGGATAACCTGTTGACCATCTTAAGAACCAGGTATGGGTTGAAGCCTCACCCAGGTGGATCAGAAGGAATAGGAGCAGTTGATGGTAACTATTAATGTTTAACCATTGGGGAAGCTACCAGTCTTGTCCTTCGCAGTGGCTGCACCATTTTCTGTTTCCACCAGCAGTGTGAGGGGGTTCTGGTTCCTCCACATCCTTGCTGACACTTTGTTAATTGTCTGTCTTTGTTTATTATAGCCATCCTAGTGGGTGTGAAATGTTATCTCATTGTGATTTCAATTTTTGTTTCCTTGGTAACTAGTGAAGTTGAATTTTTTCACGTGCTTATTGGCCATTTGTATATTTTCATTTGAGAAATGTCTAGTAAGATCCTTTGCAAAAAATAAAAAAGACCCTTTGCCCATTTTTAAAAAACTTTGTATCTTTTAATTGGGTTATTTGTGTTTTTATTATTGAGTTGCAGAAGTACTTTATATATTCTGGATACAAGTTCCTTATCAGATAAATGATTTACAAATATTTTATTCTATTCTTTGGGTTATCTTTTTACTTTTTTGATATTTTCTTTTGAAGCTTAAGTTTTTAATTATGATAAAGTCTAACATCTGTTTTCTTTGGTGGTTTGTGCTTTTGGTGTCATCTAAGAAGGCTTTGCCTAATCTAAGGTCATGAAGATTTTTTCCTGCGTAATCTTATAAGCAAAACTCTTACAGTTTTACCTCTTGCATTCAGATTTATAATCCATTTTGTTAATTTTTGTGTATAGTGTGAGGAACAGATTCATTCGTAAGTCTGCTCATTTCTCTCCTGCATTTCACCCTCATTCTGTTCACGCATTTTCTTTGCTTAATGCAAACCTGCTACCTCCTTTACCTGCCTTTTTCTCCTGCCCTGCTTCTTTAAAAATCTTTAGTAAATATTTCTGCACTAGTGAGGCCTTTGGATGAATCTGTCCTTTAGCAGGCCTTTCCACTTCATAGAGAACAGTGGAACTCTGCATGAGGAGAAGAAAAACCAAGGTATAAAAAAGGGTGAATTTGTTGGTCCTTGTGGCTCTCTTGTTCTTGCCTTTTTCTCTCTGGAGTTTCAGGTCTTGCTAAGGCTCCTTGGTCTTGAGAGTGTGTTTCCTAATATGTCATGTTTTCTGATGGTGGCAGGTAACAAATGATTGTCAGTGATGGCCAGCCCATTGCTGAGTCACCCACAGAACCCTGGGACATGTCGGGAAGCCTGTATGTTCCGCTCATGCCTCCTGGGTAACAGTTCCAATGAAGGTCACACAGGAAAGTGGAAGCCTTTGGACTCAGAAATTCACCAGACTAGAACTGGTGACTGAATTTTTATCTCCAGGAGGATCAGCATAGAGTGAACTCTCTGCTTTTAAGTTGTTCCTCATTCAGCTTGGCTGACCTCCTTGTTATTCATGCTAATGGCTCCTGTAGTTAATCGTGTGGATAACCCAAAAACCATTTCTATGATGTGAGATAAATTCCCCACCCTAATATGTTGTATTTGGTGTGACATTCGAATGGATTTTCATTTCACAAGTGCACTTCTACTGAACGTGAAAGTGGTTGGCCCAGAAATGTGAGAGATAGTAAAGGAAAGGCACATCTTTCTGATGCATTGCTTTAGTCATGACCTTTCACGCTTCAAAACTTATAGTCACTCACTCTCCTTTGTCTATCAAATAATTTATTCTTCTCTGCTTGGCTTGTAAGAGCCTTTATAGTCTGGTTGTAGCCTCAGTAGGTAACGTTAATCTTATTTCTCATCCTCCAGGCTGTAACCCTTTGGCATGGTCACACCAGCTTTGCTGTATCTTTTTGTCTTTGTCCCAGTGTTAGCCGTCCTTCAGTCCCCTCTTTCTAGCCATCCATCCCTCCCCCCAGCATCCGTTGTGCAACTCCTGTGTGCCTGTCGAGCTCGAGATGAGACAATGGGTAAGACAGTCGCTTCCTTTGTAGGGGCTCACAGCCCAGTGGAGAAATTAAACATGTAAAGGCATAATTACCCAAGTGAAGGTGATACTTAGAATATAAAGATGCACAGAGGAATAAGTAATTAAATCTACCTGGGGAAGGCAAGGTAGCTGTTGCAGAGGAAGTTTCATTTAGCCAGATCTTGGATGATTCTCTTTATTCCTTTATTTATTCTTGCTGCCACAGTCTTATCACCTGAACTATTGTAATGGCCCCACACATGGTCTTACTGCTTATTAGCTTTGCCGTTTTTAATCCTTAGTTGATTTTGATTTCAGAACTACCTTTTCGTATCACGCATCTGATTATGTGAATTCCCAGACTTGAACCTGACAGGGCTTCCCATTGCCTGCATAGTTGAGTCCAAATTTATCATATAATGGACAAGCCTAAGTGCAAATTCAGGTCCTGCCTCTTATTATGAGTATAGCTTTTGAGTAGTAATTTTTCCGAGTTTCATTTTCCTTTTCTATTAAATGAGTACAACATGTTCCCTGAAGTTTATTAGGATAGAGGCAAGGCAAGGAAAACACTGCCTTAGTCAAGGTAGCTGTCTATAAGAAGGATTGTACAACACAGCATAAAGGGCCCACGTTTTGGCACCAGACAGACCTGGGAGCAAATCCTGACTCTGCACATATTATCTGTGTGACCTTGAGCACGGTACCCTGAACCTCTTTTGCAAAATCAAATTAATACCTCATGTGAGTCTTTTAAAAAAATTCTATTTATTGATTTTTAGAGAAAGAGAGGAAGGAAGAGAGAAAGAAAGAGAAACATTGATTTTTTGTTCTATTCATGTGTACACTCAGTGGTTGATTCTTGTAGTATGTGCCCTGACTGGGCATGAAACTCACAACCTTGGTGTGTCGGAACGATGCTCTAACCAACGGCGCTACCTGGCCAGGGCCCTTATGTGGCTATTAAATATAGAACTAATAGCAGAGAACAGAATATATTTGATATTATGGTATATAATATATCGTAACATAAAGCACGAGCCTCTTATAGGCATTTAATAAATAGAAGCAGCTGTTAATGGATAATATGCTAGACCTTTCAACTATCTTTCCTGTACTAATTTATCTCTGCTTTTTTTTAAATTTTCTTTTCCAATTAACAGTTTACATTCAACATTGTTTTGCATTAGTCTGAGGTGTACAGCGTAGAGGTTAGGCAGTCATGCACTTTACAGAGTGGTTCCCCCAATATTTCCAGTACCCACTGTACCCGCCTGGCCCCACACACAGCTATTACAGTGATGCTGGCTATACTCCTCATGCTGTGCTTTGCATTCCCGGGGCTATCCTCTGACTGCCAATCCCTCCACTTAGTTCTTACACCCTATCCTGCCAGCCTATCGACTCCCCTCCCCCACTGCCTAAAATGGGAATACACTTCCACAGCTCTGAGTCTTGGTTCTGCCTGCTCTCACGATCTGGGATGCCCTTGCTCTCATTTTTTGAGAACTAGGCCTTTCTCTGTGACTTCCTCTTGCAACCAACTCTTTCACTCCTGCCTCCCAGTCAGAATCAATTATTTCTTTATCTGTTTTTTCCATTTCCTTTATTCGTAAATCTATAGCACCCATGACATGTAGTTAATAGTTGTCTGTCTTCCCCGCGAAAAAGAAACATGTCTTTTCACTTTTTGTAGCCCCAGCTTCTGGCGCAGTATCGGCATGTAGTAAGGCCCTCAATAGAGTGGCTAAGAAGTAAACTGAATAGAAGTTGGGCAGAGTCTGACTCAGATCAGGGAAAACCTTAAATGTGAGGGTAAGGAGTTAAAACTTTACCCAGAGGTTGATGGGGAGCCATGGAAGACTTTTACCCAGGGATGTAACATGATACTGTAGATTCTTCCAGAGTCGAGTGCTCTTGGCAATAGCAGGAGCAGCATGAGGTTCTCTGTTTCTACACTGATGAGTGAAGCTGGGAGTCTGACTGTCTGACCATACTAACCTCACCCTCTTCTGAACATCACCTGTTCCTGATGTCTGTCCCTTTGTCCTCACTGACGTGTACACTACTTGACTTCCAGTTTCACTGTATCCTGGTTTGTCTCATCTCCCTGGTAAGAGGATAAGCCTCCAACTTTCGTGTGCAGCGTCGCAGCAGTTCCCCCACTGCACGCCCCCTCTTCCCTATCATGAAATGAAGCATGTGATCGGTATTTCAGTAAGTGCTTGCTCAATTGAACTTGAATAGGATTCTCTGGGGATATAAAATTTAGCACAACTGAAAAAAAAAAAAAAGGTACAGCTAAACCTAGAGTGAATCATCTACATGTGGTTTAGTGGAATTGAGGGATGAGTCTACCTAGTTCAGATGTATGGATTGTTTGCCAGTTTATTATCTGCTAGGACTTTCTTGCTATTAGGTTGTATAGTCAAGAATAGAGGCGAAATAAGAGCTAAAACCTGACCAACCTAACCATTCAGATTATGCCACACGAAGAGTTACACAGAGGATTAATGAATAGAGCATTCCTGAATAGCTCCTGTTAGACCATTTCATCCTGGCTAAGGGACAATTGCACCCTCTCAAGCAAATGTTTCAGTTTGTTCTAGTTCTCCAGTGTCAAGTCCTGGCCTTGGCACTGAGCTGGGATATGAGACTAACCCAGAATCCATTAGCAGCACATACTAGAATGTTTCGGTGTAAAACCATACTCTCTGAGCCAATGGTACATTCTTTCTAGCATGATATGAGCTAGAAAAGGCAGAATTGCTTAAGAGCCCCGAACTTCTTTAACTCTCAGAGCCAAGTTTAATATGCCAGGAAAAAGGAAGTGGAACAGCTACCATGGATTATTTCTGTTGGCAGAAAAGCAAGGAAGTGGAATGGTTTCCTCCATAGGCACACACTCAAAAACAGGTTCCCTTGTGAGTGCCCCTTGGAGTGGGAACTGGCCTGCCTTTTTTTTTTTTTTTTTTTGTGTGTGTGTGTGGTCCCTTAGCCAGGGGCAGGCATCACAGACTGGGATGCTGAAAATTTTCAGTAGACAGCTTGATGAGTTTCCACAAATGTATACCTACCCGTGTAATTAAATCATCACTCTAAACAGCATAGGACATTTCTGTCACCCTAGAATGGCACATCATGTTCATTTACAGATAGCTCTCCCCCAAACCAACCCAGGCAACTTCTTACTAGATGTCTCTCACTATAGAGTCCTGTTCTAGAATTTCATAGAAATGGAATCATGTAGCATATACTCTGTGTCTGTACCAGTCAGTTTTCCCCAGCAGTTTATTACTGAGTCCTTCCCCCTGCCAGCTTATTAGACTACCCTACTGCCCCTCCTCCCCGTACACTGCTGTGCCTGCCTTCATTTCCCCATGTGCCAGCTGGGCTTTTTACCAGCTCCAGGAAGGTATCATTCCCCAGCCCAGTTACTGCATAAACTTGAACTTCCTCTCCCTTCTGATATTTCCGAGTTAGAAAGGTTTGGAACATAAAAGAGCAAATTAAATGCCATTTCCCCCCATGTGTGCTTCTGGAGGAGTCCTAATGACTCTAGGTTACTCCCTCACTGCCACATGGGGCCTCATTGAGATAATAAGATTCTCAAGGAAAGTATCTGGGAGACCCAAGGCTGTGCTCTCCCTCCTCCCTATCCATTAAGTCAGGACTGAGGTTTCCTCTGTAAACCCTGAATGCATTAGTGGCAACTGTGTTGAGGGTCAAACGTCAAATACTCGGCTGTGATGGTAGAGGACATCTGTGGCTCATTAGCCCGCTAATTGGCAAGCTGGGAATGGGGAAGTGCTGGATTTGCCCTAGCAGTTCTGCACCAATGGGAAGCCAGCTCCCTGTCCAGGCTCCAGCTCCCTGAAGGGGGATGAAAGACAATGAGGAGGTTTGTTTGCAGTGGGAGCAAAGCACCCTACCCCGTCTCCTCCAGGTCAGCGTAAGGCAGAACACAGCTTCAGGAACTGGCCCTGCTTTAATCGGGAGACTAAGCGTGAGCCAATGGCCAGATGTCGACCTCTTCTTCTCACTTTAATTTTAATCCTTTACTTTGGAGATAAGAGTTACACACCCAGCTCTTTTCCTGCCCTAAGCTGATTTCTTGAGTGACTCACAGTTTGTTTGAAGGCATTCAAAGGCCTCAGGAGTCACGTAGGTAGGGTGACATTTATTCATCGATCCATTTATCATAGCATTTGACAAATATTTATCTACTACCTGCCGTATGCACATCGTGGGGCCAAGCACCATGGAGCCCCTGAAGGTCACTCATCTGGTCTTGCCTGTTGTAGGCCAGCAGGTTTATGAGGCTTATGAGCATGAACTACAATGAGGGAGACCATGAAATCGCCAGGAAATGGACACATCAGGAATTCTCAGATAGGAAAGAACATTTGTGGTCTAGAGTCATCGAAGACCTTTTGAGCTGGACCTTGTCGGGTGGGGACAATTTCAGTAGGTAGAGATGAGGCTGGGAACTTACATGAACAGAAGAGCAGGAAGAGGACGAGGAGGGAATCCATAGACATGCTTTCTGGTGAGACGGTGGCATCCACATTGTAGCGCATTGTCCTCTGAGGCAGGTGGCCTCCTTGCTGAGAACCTCACTCTCCCCTTGCTTTGCAGATCAATGAGTTGAGCAATGTCCCGGTCCCTGTCATGCTAATGCCAGACGACTTCAAAGCATACAGCAAGATCAAGGTGGACAATCATCTTTTCAATAAGTAAGTTGCCCATTGAGTGGACTTTGTGGGCAGTCCTTTCCCTCAAGGCAGAGAGCTTCTGAAACCTTGCAGAAGGAGCACCTGGCAGGGTGTAACAGCGACACCTGGATGACAGAGCTGAAAAGCCGGCTGGAAAAATGTGTTCATTGTGTGCCTCTGTCCCCGGCTGTCTTGTCATCTCACTCCTTTGTCAGCCCATCTCCATTGTCCCCAGGACACGTGGCTCGGTCCAGGGTGATTCATCTAGGGCCAGTTCAGGGAGCAGTGAGCTGCTCGGGAGCTGAGGTAGCTGGTGTGAGGCTGACAGCAGTGGCCCTATCTTGATCTTAGTCTGAGGCAAGAAAAGCTGCCAGGCATGATCTTGGCCTGGGATGCGGCCAAGCACTTTCCTCTCCAGCTGCTGTGTGAACAAACCGAGCATGGTGCCTGAGGGCGCTCCCCAAAGTGATTCTTCCCACTTTTGTTTTTTGTGGTTTCTTGGATTAAAACTGGGGCCTGAAGGTTGTCTCAGGCTTTGGTGAAACAGCCATCTCACCCGGCAGAGGTTGAGGCCTGCTCTAAGCCCTTCGGAGGCCCTTCTTTTTATCCCAGTTTGGGCCTCTCCCCTCACCCCCCAAAACTGTTTGCTGCTCACACTCCCTTCCTTTCTGCCTTGGAATCCTGGTTCCACTCGCCATCGTTCCACAGTCCCCGCCGCCTCACTGGCTGGGCTCTGTCACCCCGCTGATCTCAGACTGTTAGCTAGGAGGAGAAGCTGGATTTGAAGGTGTCCATTAATGACCTCTCTCTTCCATTGTAATAACAACACCTTATTCTAAAAGCTGTCTTCATAGCTGCTGCTCACTAAGGGGCTACCTGTATAGAGGAAAAACTCTCCTGTGTTTCTCCTCTACTCTCACATGACCGAAACTCTGTAAGACACCATCTGGGTGTCCTGCACTTCAGGTTAGCATCAGGTCCCACAAATTTAGGGTTCAGTCCCACGAGGTTGCTGCCTTCCCACCTCAGATGCTAGCCAGAAGGCCAGGGTGTCGCCTGTGCTTCTGACCAGCCTCTACAGATCAGAGGTTCCCACGACCCTCCCCCTTGGATTCAATTAATTTGTTCCACTGGCTCACCAAATGCAGGAAAACAGTTTACCTACTACGTTACTGGTTTATTATTAAAGATTACAGCTCAAGAACAGCCATATGGGGAGACACACGGCAAGGTGCGGGGAGAGGGTGCAGAGTTTCCACGCTCCTCCCCGTGCCCCGCTCTCCCCACACCTCCTTGTGTTCACCATCCTGGAAGCTCCTGAACACAGCCCGTTTGGATTTTGATGGAGACTTCGTTAGGAAGGCATGATTAATTAAATAATTTGCCTTTGGTGATGGATTCAACCTCCAGAGCCACTCTCCCCTCCCTGAAAATTCCAACCCTGCAATCCTGGTTGGTTCCCCTGGCAACCAGCACCCATCCTTAGAGGCTTTCCAAAGTCACTGCTCTGAAACACGCTCAGGTGTGGTTGGAAGGAGCTTGATATGAATAACAAAAGGTACCTTTATTGCTCTTATCACTTAAAAAATTGCAAAGGTTTGAGGAGCTCTGTGTCAGAAACAGGAATGAAAACCAAATATATGTTTCCTACTACCGGTACATCACAGTATCACAGCATCTAAGCGAGGAGAGGCAGCCAGCACTCCGCTGGGAGGCAGGAAAGGAGGCTGTTCTGTCCCTGGAGGTCAGGGCTCTGGGAGTGGGCGTTGTACCGCTGCCCGTTTTAGGGTCCATAGCCTCTGGTGAAGTTCCATCACCTTGACCTCTTGGTCTAAAGCAGAGCGTCCAATCTCTTATTTTCTTTTTCTTTATTCCTTTTGTCCTTTCAATGACTGCTTATGCGCCAGCTATTAAACTGCAGCACTACAGACCAGAAGACAGGGGTAGAATAAGGCACATTAGTCTGCCTTCATGAGAAGCTACTGCTCTGTATTTATTCAATTACCCAATAAGACATTATTTACAAAAATGATGGTTGGCCAGATCTGACCCATGGAAGCTACTGCTTTTTATTTCCTTGAAGCCTGTCATCTGGAGGAGTCAGAGGGACATATTTCTGAAAGTGAGTTCCCAAGTGGGGTGACTGTTGTCAACGGGGAAGATTTGGAGGAGGCATCACCTCAAGGGTTCTCTCTTCTCCTGGGAGCCTGTGGGTTGGCTGCGGGGTGGGAGGCGTGGAGGTTGGTGCCAGCAAACAAGGCTCCATTGCCAAGGTGGGATCCCCAGCAATTGACCGAGGATCTCCCACGTGAAATGCACTCTTTCTCCAAGCCAAGGGCGGGGCTTCCTGCGTGTAACCAGGCTGTTTTGATAGGAACATGCCCAGAGGAGAGGGTCTCTGTAATGCAAAAGGCCTTTCCCTTTAGCGGTCAGACTCAGGTTCACTTCATAGCAGCTGCACCAGCTGTAGGAAGTACAGTGCTTACGGAGGGGGATCTGCACTCAGTCTCACCTCCTGGCGGGTAAGGTTTTTTTCCTTTAATGTGAATTTTATTGAAAGACAACATGCACTCCGAAAAAAGGACACAAATTCTAAGTATACAGCTAGCTTAATTTTTACGAAGTGAACACAAAGTATATAAAGTTTTTGAACTTTGACATGCGCAGAATCACCTGGACTGTTTAAAAATGAGCCTTTCCAGACTCACCTCCAGAATTTCTGGTGCCTAGAAACTTACATTCCAAGCCCTACAGGTTGTTCAGAACCCAGTGATCTGTGGACCTCTCTGAGAGACTTCAGCCGTGAGAATTAAGATGAGCAAAAGACGTCCGCAAAGACCTGTCTCTGCTTTTCCCTAGGGAGAACCTCCCCAGCCGCTTTAAGTTCAAGGAGTACTGCCCCATGGTGTTTCGAAATCTTCGGGAAAGGTTTGGGATTGACGATCAGGATTACCAGGTACTGGTGTCTTTGCAAAATCGGAGGGATTAGCAAGTGGAGCGGGGTCAGGAAGCCACAGGACATGTAGAGAAAAAAGTGTCTTCTCTTCTCGTGCCATGTCCTCCTGTCACGTTTCTCCCCAGCCCAGGCAGTCTTTTCTTCTGTGTTGGTGGACCCTTGGAGGGGTGAGGGCCTTGGTGCTTCTTATGATGCCTTGCAGACCCAGGCTTCTCGCCCTGGCGGGGGGAGAACAGTGGGAGGGAGAAGGGGTATAGAAGCTGTTTCACTTTAGTCTGACATTCCCAGTCTAGGCTGAAGAACCCTCCTCCTTCATAGTTTGACTTAAAAGAGAGAGAATTGTTGCCAGCGGGAAATGAGGCCTCTTAAAGCAGTAGATAAGACAGATTAGAAAAGGAAGACTCCAAGAGTAGTGTAACCTCTTGCCAGGTATGAGTACCACCTCCTAAACTTGTCCCCTGTCCTGATGTTGGGTGGGGGCTAGGTATGGCAGGGGAATGGCCTCCTTCAGAGGGTGATAATTGTCATAGAGGGCTTTGTCCTATTGGGAGGAATCAATCCCAATATCAGGAACTCTATAGTCTCACTTACAGTTTATGGTTTCTGTGACTGCTCCATCTCGCACCTTCCCTGGACCTCCTTCCCTTGGCACACAGCCTGGTAGTGAAGGCAGGAGGATCCTCCACTTCACTTCTGTAGCAGTAAGAAGCATAGCGGACTTCCCATTGCCTGTGAGGGGAGAGAAGTGTACAGCCTGGTGAAATCTGCAGTGGCTGCCCCGGTCTTTTAAAACACTGTAATTCCTCCGCCCCACACCCAGTAAGCCCCACACCTAGTAAGCCGCTCGCAGTAAGCCGCTCCCAGCAAGCTGCTCCCAGCATAGTGCGCAACAAGCAGGTGGGGCGAGCCTCCCTCCGCACTCCTCTGCTCTGGAAGGCCTCCTGCAGAGATCTGTATCCTGGAGAGAGGGTGAGGGGACGTGAGAGGGGACTTGGATGGTCTGGAATGTCTAAGAGGTGCTGGGAGGTCCCAGCAGCCACCTCTGTTATGACCAAATCCTAAGTGGAATCATGACCCGATGGGAGCCTGGGACTTGTCTGAAAACTTCTTGCCATTGTCGCAACCCCAGGTAACCTGCTCGGACTTCTCCCTTCCACAGTGGCACCTTCCCCTCCCCTTGGCCATCTAACTGCATCCTCTCTGACAGCCTTGTGGGCGAATGACCGTGCTCCACACTGACATCGGGCCAGGGAGGATGGGGTTCAGGGAGGGGCCTCTGTTCTCTGGGACAGTGTGGCCCTCAGTCATGTAGTCTACTCAACACTTCTGGACTGGGGATACTTTGTTTTGGGAGGGGTGCTCCTTTAGTTTAGAGAGCCCCTCATGGAGGTGGTGTGCCCTTCTCATGAGGAGGTGTTAGGTGAAGGTTAAGAGTCAGGCTAGGTGAGAGGCGAGGAAAAAGCCTGGGAGACATTTCTGTGAGCAGATTGCCACGTGTGTTTTCTTGGGAACAGGGACGGTTGGGATCTCTCTCCCTGCCTTGCCTCCCAAAGGGCTTCTCCCTGCATCCGCTTGGTGAACACACCCGTCTGGCTGGCTCATTCCTTCCCTACACCTCCTCTTGTGGCTTTACTGCTCTCTGTCCTAATGGCAATGGGGCCTTGAGGAAGAGCAGGTATGGGAGCAGAAAAGCTCCTCCGAACTGCCTCATGGCCCTGCTCAGATAAGCAGGAGTTTGAAGTGAAGGGAGCAGTGTCGGACAGAGAGATGAGGACCAGCTCCCTGCTTCGGGAAGGGTTTTCTAGCATCAGGGTACTTCCAGGGAGAGGAGGTGACTGTTCATTGTCTTTTCATGCTGGATTTCTTGAATATTTCTTCAGCTTTTTCTTTGTCACCCCAGGAGACTGGGAAATCATCTCAGCCTGCCTCCTTGTGTTCCAGGTGACAAAACTCAAGAGTAGAGAAGTTAAATGGCTCACCCAAGGGTCATATCACATGTGAATGGCAGGCTTGGGACCCAGTTGCCTGACACCTGAGGTAGCTGTCTGGGATAGAATGAGAGGAAATGTTTCGCAGGAAATCCTCTACCTAACGCAGTCAGGGATTAAGGAGAACTCTTGTCACTCTTAAGGAGGACTTCTGGGAGAAATATGAACGTCCTATGAGAAAAGGGGTGGTTAGGTCCCATCTCTCTCAGTGTTGTTGGCTTCAGAGCAGTCTGGCCCACAACAGAAGGCTCAGTGTAAAGGGCAGAGTCCTGTTCCCTCCTAAGACCAGCCCGCTTTCGTCTTGGTCCATCAGAATTCAGTGACACGCAGCGCCCCTATCAATAGTGACAGCCAGGGCCGATGTGGCACACGTTTCCTCACCACCTACGACCGGCGCTTTGTCATCAAGACTGTGTCAAGTGAAGATGTGGCTGAGATGCACAACATCTTAAAGAAGTACCACCAGGTATGGTGAGTCCCGAGCCTGGACAGGACGGGTGGGTGGGAAGAGGGAGAAGGGAGCCCCCGGGGGAGCTTTTAGAGAGCGATGGGTCCTCTGGTAATGAATGGCAGGCACCTCCTGATAGCCAGGCCCTTGCCCTCCCTGGTACCATGTTTCTGTGAGGAGAAATGCCTGTTTGAAACAATTTAAAAGGAGACACGAAGGCGTGGTACTGACTCAATCGCAGTTGAACAGCTGTTTCTTGCCAGACTTGGGAGGTTCTCACACTCTGGCACCCGCGTCACTTCTGAAGGAGAGCCTGTCGGCGGCTCGGCAGGGTTGCTTTCCTTCCCATTCGTATGCCCCCCTCATCTGGAACCTGTCCAGGGGAAAGCAGGGAGCGCAGTGGCATTACCTGTGTGCCTGTCCCAAGCCCGCTTGGGTCTTCAGGGAGAGCTGGCTTCTCTCTGGGTACCTGGGAAGTGGTGAAAGGGACTTCCAGCCTTTTGGGAATTACAGCAGAAAACGCCGGGGCATGGTGTGGGTAAGAGCTTTTGATACAGAGCCATCCTGTTTTCCCAGACAGCCAGGTCCCAGTCCTGCCTCCACAACCCCTCTCTGCCCTGTGGCTTTCCTGTTTCAGGCCACAGAGGCGATGCAAGGCCTAGATTAGCGATCTTCCTCCGCTGGGATCCCAATAACGTGAAACCGAAGGGGCTCTGCAGTGCCTGCTCAGTCTCTCACTCTGTTACGCCAGTTGGGGGCGGGGGTGGCGATTGCCTGTTGTCAACCTAAGGGACCCCGTGGCTTCGCAGAGCCCAGCTTAGAATCGCAGGCAGGGAGCGTTTCAGCCTGGGAGAGCGCCGCCCACCCAGGTACCTTCCTGTGTTCCTTAGCCTTCCGCCCTTCCTTTCTAGTTCATAGTGGAATGTCACGGCAACACCCTTTTGCCACAGTTCCTGGGCATGTACCGCCTGACGGTGGATGGGGTGGAAACCTACATGGTGGTCACCAGGAACGTGTTCAGCCATCGGCTCACCGTACACCGCAAGTATGACCTCAAGGTAAAAGGGCTCTGCTCCCCGGCTCTGTGGCTGCTCTCTCCCCGAGGCTCAGAAGGGCCGTGACTCCAGCTGCCACGTGATGGGAAAGCCAGAACATGTGTTTGGCACGGACAGGTGACTCTAGAGTTGATGTGCCTAATTCTTGGGGCCAAAGGCTGTTTGAAGTCCAGGTGACAGTGACAGGAGGTTATTTAAGCCCCCAGTGCACCGTATTTATATAACAGTTGATGTTCTTCACCTCTTGTCACTGGGATATGCACGGCAAGGGCAGCGGCGTGGGACAGTCTGTTCTGACGCCTGCACTCTGGCCTCTGTCCAGGCCCACGGGCTGACAGCACAGATGCATTTCTAGACACGGAAAAGAACACACTTGTGCCTGTGAGCCCCAGCACTCCGCTGTTCTGGAACCTCACTTCCTGGCTTCACCGTCACCTCGCGCCACTGTCCCTGTCGCTACTGCAGCCACACCGGTGTCCTGTCCATTCCTGCAGCGTTTGTGCGCTCCTCCTCCCCAAGATCTCGCTTAGGCTGCCTGGAGTCATTTCCCTTCTGCCCTTCTCTCTACCGCCACCTTCCCCCACTTCAGTACTTCCTTCTTACCCTTCTGAGCTCAGCTCAGATGTCACTTGTTCCCGGAAGCAGGCCCTGGCCGGTGCCCCTCTCCAGTCCAGGCTCGGAGCTCGGAGTGTCCTGTCTCCTCTCCTGTACCACTTAGCACCATTGTGACTAATAGATTAATTAATTGTGTATCTGGTGCTTAGTGCCCCTCTCTCCTGTTAGGAGGAAAGTTCCCTCAGGGCAGGGACGGAGTCGCTTGTACAGCCCTGATTCCTGAGCGTGTACGTTCTACACAGTCAAAGCTCTGCAGACGGTCTGGGACGGGGCAGTGCACAGGCTGCTGCCTCCCGGCTGCTCTGGGACTCTCGCTAGCCCGCTTCAGTTCACCCTCTGCCTCTGCCCAGGGGCTGGTGCGTGTCTTCTCGCTCAGCGGAGTTTGCCTCCGCTGGACTTCTCCTGATGGCTCTTGTCCTTGCAGGGTTCGACTGTTGCCAGAGAAGCGAGTGACAAGGAGAAGGTATGCTGGGAGCCGTGCTGATCAAACGGGGGCCGGGGCGCTTGGAAGGCGGCTGTCCTGTCGGCCGTCCTCCTCCTTCCTCCCTCACAGCCCCTAGTCCGCTATGCAGACGTGCAGTCTGTCGGTGCTGTGGGTCACTAAGCACCTGCCTAGGCTCTGCCTTGGCCTTGGTCTCCAGTCTTTTACCTCTGCCCTTGCTGGATTCTTCGTGGTCCTGGAGGGCTGGCAGTATCCGTGTCACGGCGCAGCCTGAAGCAGTGAGTGGCTGCCTGAGCCCTGAGGTGACCCAGGCTGGGCAGGAAGGCATACGTGGGGCAGTCCCCGTTGTCTGACATATGCCACACATTTGCCATCCCTGCTTGCCCAAAGCTGGGGTCTGTAGCCTCCTGTGCTAAGCTGTTGATCTGGCAGGTTGGTCATCAGAGCTCTAAAGTCCCTTCCCCTTTCTGTGCCGTTGTCCCCAGCAGGGATCCTTGGGGTGAATGAACAGGCCGCCCAGCTAACACTGCTGTTGTTCTCCCAGGCCAAGGACTTGCCAACATTTAAAGACAATGACTTCCTCAACGAAGGGCAGAAGCTGCACGTGGGAGAGGAAAGTAAAAAGAATTTTCTGGAAAAACTGAAACGGGATGTAGAGGTACTTACTAACCTTGTTTTCACCTTAGTTGAACAAGGCCCCCTCTTGTCTCTGGTGCAGGAGCCTCTTTAAGGAAAAATTGAAATCACTACTTTCCAACAGTGTAGACAAAAGGAAGGGTGGTGATTTGAGCAGTGCGGATGGTGATTTGCACCTGAAGCTGGTGCAAATGAACGTTCCATTTCAGGAACACAGTTTGTGCCTGTAGAATCTTGGTAACTTAGTTTAGAGTGCTTTTTCTCATCTCCTCCAATACCTTTTCAAACTCCCCTTAAGACTTCCTTTCTATTTTCTTTTTTCTTTTTAATATTTTATTTATATGGAGTCGGGAAGGGAGAGAGAAAAAGAGGGTGAGAAACATTAATGTGTGGTTGCCTCTCACGCGTCCCGCTGCTGGGGGCCTGGCCTGCACCCCAGGCGTGTGCCCTGACTGGGACTCGAACCAGCGACCCTTTGGTTCACAGGCCAGCGCTCAGTCCACGGAGCCACGCCAGCCAGGGCCAGACTTCCTTTCTGGTTGTTCCCACAGCAGAGGCATCCAGCCATCAGAGCAGCAGGAAACCAGCCTGTCAGACCTACCCTTGCCTCTCACTGGCCCCGATTCCCCACTGGCCTAGAACCCCGGGAGAAGCTCCACCTCTGCGGATGGGGGTTACAGTGAATGCGATATCTGCAGCACCTGATAACAGTGTCTCCTTCTATTTAAATAAGTTGGGAGCCTGCTCATTAAAACAAAACCCTATAAAACTTTTAAAAATGTTTTATTTCTTAACCATTTTTAAGTGTACGTTTCAGAGCCATTAAGTACACTCACACTGTTGTCCAACCATCACCACCCTCCATCTCCAGGACTTCTTCATCCCGGACTAAGACTCTGTAGCCATTAAACGTTGGCCACCCACTCCCCTCAGCCCCCCAGCCCCCGGCAACCACCATTCTTTCTGGGTCTATGCAATTGACTCCTCTAGAACCTCCTATGAATAGAATCATGCAGTATTTGTTCTGTATATGTGACTTATTTCACTTACCACAATGTCCTGGCGGTTCATCCATGATGTAGCATGTATCAGAATGGCCTTCCTTTTTAAGGCTGAGTAGTACTCCATTGTGTGTGTACTGACAGCAGGAGCCCATTCTGTTTACCATTCATCCACCGATGGACATCTGTTATGTTAGTTAGGCTTATCCAGAGAAACAGAAAGAACCAACAGGGTATAGAGGGAGAAATTGATTGACAGTTAGATGTTTATTATAAGGAATTGGCTCACATGAATTTGGAGGCTAACAAATCTCAACACCTGCAGTTGGCAAGCTTAGAGACGCAGGAGAGCTGATGGTGTAGTTTCAGTCCGGAGGCCAGCCAGCAGGCTGGAGACCCTGAAAGAGTGGATGTTTCAGTCCGCATCTGAAGAGAAGAAAAAACTCATATCCCAGCTCCGTGGCAGTTAGGAAGCTCCTGTTCCTTTTACTCACAGGAGGGGCAGCCTTGTTGTTCTGTTAGGGCCTTCCATTGATTGGATAAGGCCCACGCACGTTAGGGAGGGCAATCTGCTTTACTCACTTTACCCATTCAAATGTCAGTTCATTCATAAGCACCCTCACAAACACACTCAGAATAATATTCAGTCAAATGTTTGGGTACCTAGTGGCCCAGTCAAGTTGACACATAATACTAACCATCACATGTGAGTTGCTTCAGTGTGAATAATTCTGCTGTGAACATGGGTTTCACAAACTTTTTGTTGCTAGGAAGCTTTTCTTTGATCATTCCCTATTACATTTGTGCCTTTATTCTGATGTTCAGCTTATTCAGTCTTTCTCCTTCCTTCACTGCTTTTCTCCCTTCTTTGCTCCTAAGAAGAATTTACGGCATTTACACAGTTCATTTGTTTTCACTTACATGTTGGCTCTCTAAGTGTTCTCAGGTGGATAGGAGGAGATGTGGTCGTGAACTCTGTCTCTTTCGGGGTCCCGGCCCCTTTTCCCTAGGCCTTGAGAAGGCTTTGTCCAGAGGTGCTTGGAGTGGCACCCGCAGCTTTCTTTCTCTGCTGAGGAGATTCTGCTGCTCCCTTGTGACTGGGTCTTGTTGTGCTTTTAGTTGTTTTCTGGGCCTGTGTGTAGAGCCGCTCTGGTCCTATTATAGTTCTCCTAGTTCATTAGTCACTGTGGTCAGTTGGACAGTTTCATGGTGCTGCAGGCTCAGTTTGTGGCCGTGGCAGAATGTCAGGCATGTGGCTGATGGTAGCTGCTGGCTAGTTCACGGAGGATTTAGACCAGTGACTCTTGGCCTCACTATCAGCCAGGCCGGAATGCTGGCTGGCTGTTTCCATCCTGTGTCATTCCCGCATGCTTTGTTCTTCTCCAAGCCACGGAGCCCAAGGTTGGCAGACCTGAGACACCGTTCTGCTCACAACACATTATACAGATGAGAAACGGAGGCTTGACGAGGGGACGCCACAAGTGCAGGGGGAGGACCCCAGCATTTTCCCCCGTACCACGCAGCATCTTTTGATCTTGAGGGAAGAGCTGAGAATGTTGGTTGGCTCTGTCATTCTCATATAGTGTTTCCTTTTCTTTTTCTCCCCATTTTTGCCCTGACTAGCAAAGAAGCTAAACTGTACAGTTTTTCAAATGTTGCCAATTACCCTCAGTGAGCCTCCTTGCAACCAAACACGTACACACTCATACACAATGAAATACTATCTACCTTTACTTCATGTTATGTACTCGATTTTTAAATTCTGTTTTATAGTATTTAATAATAACAGCCCTGGCTGGTGTGGCTCAGTGGATTGAGTGCCGGCCTGTGAACCAAAGGGTCACTGGTTCCATTCCCAGTGTAGGGCACATGCCTGGGTTGCAGGCCAGATCCCCGGCAGGGGGCATGCAAAATGCAACCGCACATGGATGTTTCTCTCCCTCTTTTTCTCCCTCCCTTCCCCTCTCTAAAAATAAATAAGTAAAATCTTTAAAAAATAGTAATAATAATAAAAATCCTAGTCCCAGCCCACTAATTTGGATTTAGTACTCATAATGGGTTGATATTCATGGTTTGAAAGACTCTGCGTTGCATCCATCTCTCCAGTCTCTTGTGTAATGAAGCATTCCATTTGTCTGTCCTCAAACTTGCCATGGCGACTCTTGGTCCCAGATCATGTGGCTCTTCCCTCTTCCTGCAGTGCTCCGTCCACCCTTCCTTTCGCAGCCCCTGCCTACCTGACCCTGCTTTCTTGTCAGGCTCAGTTTCTGCCCCTTCCCCGAGGGAGGCCCGCCCTGCCCTGCAGCTCCTTGCCCTTATGGGACAACCGCCTTCCCCATCAGACGCTGAGCTCACTGAGGGCAGAGACTCTGATGTCTTCTCCGCTGTTTCAGAATGGAGAACTGGTTTGAAAGGAACGCCCTTTTCTCCCCTTTCCAGATGCCACTGGGGTGTCCTGTATAACCTCTTCCTTCTGTCTCTCCTTGCCCCACCTCCCCTAGTTTCTGGCCCAGCTGAAGATCATGGACTACAGTCTGCTGGTGGGCATCCACGACGTGGACCGGGCCGAGCAGGAGGAGATGGAGGTGGAGGAGCGGGCAGAGGACGAGGAGTGTGAGAACGATGGGGTAGGCGGCGGCCTGCTCTGCCCCTACGGCACGCCTCCCGACAGCCCCGGCAACCTCCTCAGCTTCCCTCGCTTCTTCGGTCCTGGGGAGTTCGACCCCTCTGTTGACGTTTATGCCATGAAGAGCCATGAAAGTAAGTAGGAGCCGATGATGCCTGCTCTGCCCACCTCCGGCCCATTGTTAGATGTCCTGTGGGAACCTGCACCACCACCTCGTTAATTGCCGGCTTTGGCCTCTTTCTACCTACCTCCAGGCTCCCATAGTGAGTCATCATCAGTAACTGTTGTCCGGCCCCTGGGATCCTTCTCCCTTTGGCCTTTGTCCCCTTTTCTGCGTGTCCTGGATGTTTGACACATGATTCTCTGGTTCATGGGATGGACAAACCTTATAAATACTCTCGTGTCCATGTAGGGAGCTATGAAAATCAAATAAGAGCTATGAAAGCTTCCGAGGACTCCAGTAGTCATTTTTTTCCCCTCAGATACAAAATGATAGGGATCAGTCTGGATCTCCTATCTAAAGGGTCCTGGACCAGCTTCTTTCTCCTTTTCTCCCTGCCACCTCTTCCTCCTTGCTGCTTCCCCCCCAGGTGCCCCCAAGAAGGAGGTCTACTTCATGGCCATCATTGATATCCTCACACCATATGATACGAAGAAGAAAGCTGCACATGCTGCCAAAACAGTGAAACATGGGGTGAGTGCCCCCTGATTCCAGCCAGACCCCATGGGTGGGCCCCCAGACCCTCAGGCCTCCTGTTTTAAGGAGACCCTCCCTCCCCCTCTCCCAGGGCAGGGAACAGGAAGAGCAGGTTGCCTAGTGTTCTCTCTGCCACCGACGTGCCATCCCCTGATAATATGGCCAACTTGTTTTTCCCTTCACTCTCCGGCCCTTGAGACTCCGAGCCCAGCGGCATCGGTGCCCAGGGCTGCTGGGCACGTGGCGCATCTGGTGGATGGCCAGTCATAGCTTTGTTTACATGCCCACACTGCCCCCCCGGAGGTCCACTCCCCGTGGGCCTCACGCTACTGTTCTCCAAACAGACAGACGTCCTCAGTCTCTGTGCTACCTCCCAGCCCTTGCCTCTACTTTAGTGGCTGAAGCCTTCAGGTTGTAAATCAGAGGAGCCGGGGGCCAGGGCAGTTCCGAGACACAGCCACTGCTTCTGGAGGTGGCCTGCCCAATCCGAGGGGTTGTGCTCAGCTCCAGTCCTGGTCCTGAGGTGCCGGTGAGAGCCAAGGAGCCAGACCTGAATCGGCCTCTGTGTATTGCAGGCGGGGGCCGAGATCTCGACTGTGAACCCTGAGCAGTACTCCAAACGCTTCAATGAGTTCATGTCCAACATCCTGACGTAGTGACCTTCTACCTTCAGCCAGAGCCAGAGAAAGAGATACGGGGTTGGGGATCGGAAGGGGGAGAGGGTGTGTGTGGGCTGGATGGGAGGGGTGGGAGCAGAGTCGGGGTCGGGGTGGGCTTCAGCAGTGAGACCGCAGCCTGTGGCACTGAAAGAGATTCTAGGGAGGAGGGGATGTGCTGTGTGTGCTCACAGGATGGAGCCTCACCTCCTGCTCACCTTTGATTTTTTTGCCCCCATTTGACCCAGGTTAAAAAGGGGCTTCCTTTTTATTACCTTGTAGCCTTTTACAGTACCTTGGGGCTGGAGGTGACTGTGGGTTTATTTGGATTTTTCTGAAATTTCATTGCTCCAGGTTTGCTCTTTATAACGATGCATATCATCACCCTGCTCACCGTCCCCATCCCTGCCCTGAGTTACCTGTGTCACAACGGCTCCCCTCGGATGCCGCCAAGGCTCCTGTCAGAGCCAAGTGCTCCGGCACCAGAGGAGAGGAGGGCAACACCTCATTCCTGCTGCACTGACTTTTTAATTTTATGAAGTATTGTGCACAACTCCCTTCACCTTTCCCCCTCGGATCCCAGCGATCCCTTCATCGGAAGCTGCCCTCCTGCTGGGACACTCCAGCTCCACGTCAGTCACCTTGGACCAGAATCAGAGCTCAGAGGGGAGTGAGTTCATCCTCATGGGGTGGTGCGGGGTGGGGTTGCTGCTGGGCTCTCGGACAGCTGGTTCTCAGAGAACCCTGTGATCATCGCTCAGGCGCCTGCGCTCTCGTGGCCGCTGGAGTTCAGATGTCTTTTCTATAAAGCCTGCCTCCCACTTTGTCCAGAAGAGCTTGAAAGGACTCCTGTGCTTGAATGGTTTTGTCCCCCTCGGAGAAACCCCGGAAGCTGAAGATGATGAGTATCAAATGAGGGCCCACGCCCTCCACCCATTTACTTCCTTCTGACCTTCTCCCAGGCGCCCTCACTTGTAGGTGAGCTGTTAGCTGGGCGCCGGTCTGCAGGCACCAGGGGTGCTCCTTGCAGAGATTCCTCTTCGAGCTACCAGGGCCACCATATAGGTAATCTGACTCCCTGTGCCTGTTGTTTGTCACCTGGACATTATGGCCGTCAAGGGGTGATGCCTCCTCCCTTGGAGTATGGCACCCAAGCCTGAGGTTGTTTCTGGATCATTTGAGGATGTGACCAGGAAGTCCAGTTCGGAGGCTTCAGGGAGAACTGGACCTGGGCCCAGCCTTGGGGCTGTTTTTCCTCGATGCCTCTTCTAGACTTTCAGCACATCTGCCACCCGCAGGCTTCCTCGGGAGTGGCACCCTGCAGCTTCCTTCGGGATCTCCACCACCTTCTGAGCCTTGCTGTCCTGGCCTCAGAATCGAACTGTGTGTCATTGCGTGGTGACATCTGAGCAGTCTGGTCTGGCTAGGAGGGAGAACAGCCCTGCGTTGGAGGAGGTGCATTCCTGTATCTTCTCAACCCCTCACCAGGAACTGGGGCTTTAGGATGAGATACTACGATAAAACCCCATAGATGTGAAGAGAGTTTGTGGAAGCATTTTGAATGAATGGATTGGTTTCTTACGGCTCCCTCCAAGCCTGGCCAAGCTCAGCTTCTGGAGCAGAAACCAGCACGGTCTCTGTGCCTGACGTGGAGCATTTGGGTCAGATGGGAATGGAGACAGTACTTTTGGACTCCTGTGGGGCTGCTGGGTCCCCCCGGGAGAGGCAGATGGTGCGGACAACTGCCCTTGCTCCAAGAAGGGGCCACAGGCAGCTCAGGACATCAGCGGTAAGACCATGAGGTGACTTGGGGAAGGACTTGAAACCAAGTGGCTCATGGAGAAAACAGAATTGACTTAGGAAAGGATTATATAGGAATAATGTTTGGGTTTGATTTCCCCATCTTCTAATCAAGAATGAAAATTTGGATCTGCTCATAGTCAGGCCCGGCATCTCCAAAGGCTGGCAGGCTGTCCTTTGGCGACGCGCAGCCTCCGCAGCCTCCTGCGTTTGGTTTGCTGATCATGTTGCCGGAATGTGTATGAGTAACCCAGTCCTACCAGTTAAAGATGAGCTACCAGGTAATCTAACTTCTTTAACATTGAGTTTTGTGTTTCTGGTTTTTGTGTTTTTTGTTGTTTTTTTTTTGTATATTGTTTACATTTTGAGAGGCAGCATCCTGTTTCAAATGCTCTTGTGTTTCTGACAGTGTTGTTGATTGGGTCAGAATATTTGAGCTGAGGTTTGGTGAATTTTAGATTTTTTTTTAAAGGTCATTCTGTGCTATTTTCAAAACCTTGGATTTGGCCCTCTAAATCTTTTGGCATTCAAATGTTTAAAAGCTATTTATCTTGGTTTATACAAGCTTTCTTTCTCTCTCTCTTTTTTTTTTTACAATGATGAAGATATTGTATTTGGTTTGGTCTGAATGTAGAGAAAGTGACCTGACCCCCAGGCTTTGGTCTGCGCCCCCTTTTTCCCGAACCCCACCATTCCCCGTCTGAGCAGTAGAAGACATCTGAGGGGAGGTAACCGCCCTCACCCTCGCTCTTTGGAGCCGGGAAACTCAACAGCCTTTGGGTCTCCCAAGAACAAAGGTATAAGAATAGGGCATGGCTGACTGGGTGAGGTCTGGTGGGCGATTAAGGGCAAGACTCGCCCCCCAGTCCCTCTACCACCTAAGCAGTCACAGCTTCTCCCATCCCACCCCTGTTGTGAGTCTACAGCCAAGAAACTCATTTCCCAGGTTTCAGCTGAAGCGAGGGTTGTCTGAAAACACTGCTGAGCCCACTAGACGAAGGCCTCTGGCTCTCCTTCCTGTTCGTGACCACTGAGTGTTACCCTCCCAGCCTGAGCCGCTTCCCTGCGCCCCACAGTCGGGGTGAGGAGGCGGGGCTGGGAGCCAGCAGTTCCAGGAGCTCAGGCTGAAATGCTCCATGTCTCTTTATCTTGCTCAGGGGTTACTGCTCTGTGGCAGGTGCCACGTGTCGCCCCTGTGGCTGTTCTCAGTGGTACTCCCTAAATTCCCACCACAGGCAGCTCTTCCTACTTCACGTGTTTCTCTTGCCTGTGTTTTAGGCCTCAAGCAGGTCCCCTGGTGGTACTAAAGGCTCGGGACTGCAGACTCCTGCCCTAGTGACCTTCCTCTCTTCACAGTCTGCCAGGGCCAGCCCTGGGGAGGTGGACCAAAGAACCAGGACTTTTCTCAGTAGCCAATCCCACTCACCCCTCAGTTGTCTTTTTATCAGTTCAAGTTGGGAGAGAAAAAAACTTAAGCACTCCCCAGCCTTTGAGCCACTCGCGTGTTAGGGGCCGATGTGTTTAAACAACCCTTAGAGCCCTGGCCTTAGACCTGGGGCTCCAAGCCCGGGGACCTCACCTCTTTCTGGCAGAAACGTGTGGAGGCAGAATCCACTCTGAGCACAGGAATCAAAGGGAAAACATTCAAATAAATGTCCCCAAAAGTACCAGCCACCCGCAGTGGGCCGTGACGTGGCCCCAGCCTTCCTGAGATGTGCCACTTACGAAGAGTGCCTCCAAAGGGAAGAGGAGACTCTTGCTTTCCCAGCAGGTGGTGCTGAGCGCCTGCTGAGGCTGCAGAGGAGTCTTCTGGGGGCCCCTTCCCCTGATGCAGGGCTGTTTCATGAGGACGTAGCAACCAGCCACCTCTGGGGGAAGGCCTGGTGCTGCTCAGCACACCCAAGCATCGGGTCAGATCATTGTAATCAAAAAAATGTGAATTAAGTATAGATTCAATTTGGGGGGAGCAGGATAAACTATCACCCCACCGTATGTGTCTGACTTCTCCATTTCCCACTCCAACTTCCATTTTTTAAATAGGAATTTTCAGCCCCCTGTGCTTGTCTAATGTCTCCTCAGAACAGTGTGAGATCCTGTTACTGTTTTAAAATGCATGCGTGTTAAGATGAACCTCCAATCCAAGGAAAATAAAACTTAAAAAACTTTGTGTACACATCTGTTATGTGTGAGTCCTTTGGAAATGAGCCTCTCTTCCCCCTCCCCCCGCAGATTAAGAGATTTCGGTCCAGTATCAGAGGCTGCTTGAGCTAAACCAACGTATAGCTTGAGTCTGGAGAAAGACTCGACTCTGGTCACCCACTTGCAGACGCAGTTAACAAGCTCGGTGAAAAGCGAGGCACTGGGGCTGTGGGGCCGCTGGCGTCCGTGCAGGCTGAGGACGGATAGCCTGCCTGCCCCTCCCTTCTCCGGCCAGGAGCCCTGCACGCGCCTGACACACCCGCCTTCCCAAGTAGCTGTAAGACTGACTTTGAACGAGTCACCTCGTTCAAAGGGTGTACCTCAGATTCTCAGTCTAGACTCTTTTAGCTTAAAATCTAATGGTTCTCAAAGTGGGGTCCTAGACCAGCAGCATCAGCAGCACCTGGGAATCAGAAATGTCAATTGTCAGGTCTCTGCACAGATCTGAGTCAGAAACTGTTTTAACAAGCCTTCCAGGCGACGGACGCTGGAGTTTGGGAACCTCTATGCTATACAAACTTGCTTATTAGGGCATCCACTGTAGGTTGTGAAGTAGACTCATTTGGGGAACTTTTAGAAAAAACAGGTGCTCAAGCCCCTTTAAAAGGCCAATTGAGAATCTCGAGGACTAGAATCAAAGTGATTTGCTTTAGAAGCCCCCTGGGTGACTAATGTGCAGCCAAGGTTAAGAAACACGTGTCCAGGACATTCCTGTGGGTGCTTGGCCAAATTTCTGCCGGAAACAGTGAAAGAAGATTTAAGGGTTTCCTGGTAGGGTTGAGCGAAAAGGATTCTAGGCTTTGAAGTCAAATGAGACACGGGTTTACTTCTGCGCTACCACTGGTTAAAGTGCTCCTGAGCAAGTTACTTAACTGCCCTTAAATGAGGGTAAAGGCCACTACCCTAAGCCACAAGGGTTGACGCCTGGGATGTGTAAAGGGATGTGTGCGCGGGCAGGACCCAGCACAGCGGGCCCGGGCTCGGTGTGCGTCAGAACACCCGAGGGCTGCGCTATACCCTGGGTAGCTTTCTGTAACTGCCCAGCTGGGGACGGAGAGCTGTGGGAAAAGACTCAAGCAGGAGTGAAAGAAAAACTTTTATTTAAAAAACAAAAACAAAACATAAAACACATGGGCTGTGGGCACGGAGTTAGTCCATTCGGGCCTTCAGCGTCCTGGTGGTGATTTTGTCCTTCTCACTGCAGAGGGAAAAAAATCACAAAACATCTAGACTGCAGAGCAAGTGGCTGTCCTGACTTGGTTGAACTGGTTTGCTCATGTAGGTGAATGTCAGCTTGTTCCCTCAGCCCAAAGCAAGGAAGGGGAGCATGAGAAACCGGGACTGGTGACGGTTCCATAGGTGGAACCATCAGGAGCTGAGATGACTCAGCTGGACCCAGAAGCCCTCGAAGGGAAGGAGCTCCCCCCGGCCCGGAGAACAAGTACCTTGGGAAGGCGATGTGACAGGTTTCACCCCCATGAACATAAAAGAGCCTTGGAGTGATCAATTCTCTGTGTCAGTCCCAATCCATTACAAAAGGGTCCAAATGCTTATTCTGGGATGTACCCAAGGAAAGCAGCAGAACACCTACTTCATCCAGCCGGGTTCCTGCTGACAGCCCCGAACAATTAAGAGGAGAAAGGGGCTGGCAGTTAAAGAGCAGACTGGGAGTTGGAAGGGAGTTCCCCAGCTTCACGCAGCTGTGGGCCCCGCACTAGTGGCAGTTGGGGGAGGGGAAGGGATCCACCCAGGATTTTGATCAATCTATATAGTAGGTTCGTTACCACACAGATCCCTGAGACTGGGGACACTTAGAGAAAGAAACATCTATTGTGAATAAGGGGAGAGACTCAGGGTCGTGGGACCTCGCGTGAAAGGCCAGGGGAACCTGGGTAGGCTCCCAGCTGTCCCCCTTAGGGAAGCATGGATTTCTGCGATCCTGTTTCTGCCGCAAAAGCCCTGTCTCACGCCTGACGGGGGAGGAGTGTGGAGAGGGCTGGGAAGATGGAGTGTTTGTGTGGGAGGGGAAGAGGGAAACGTCTGCAACGCTCTTAGACTTCCAGCTCATACTCACATGACGTGGACAATGACTCCCATGCCTGACACAGCATCTCGGTCCACAGCGTTCAGCATGGCTTGTGAGATGGTTTCAAACAGGTGGTCTGGGTCCTGCCGACAGAGCAAAGTCTTTCAGTCCCCAGCGCCTCAGACCCAAGCTTGGTCTGGCTCCTTGGGTCTCTCTTCTAGGCTCAAGGACCCCAGGTGGGACCCCTCAGCGCCTTCTCAGAAGGAGGCAGGGTTGTGTAAGGGAGTTTCAGCCCTGCACTTCCTCCACCAACCAGCAGTGTGACCTTGGGCAAGTCCTATGTCCCTTTACTAAGCCTCAATTCCTCTCCCGTAAAATGGACGTGAGACTCCTTATCTGGCCCCATGTCGCTGTCTGCTGGACTCTCCCCCTGGGTGTCCACCCCCTGGGTGTCCATGGGTACCTCAAACAGCTGTCTGGCCATGACAACACACTTCCACCCTGACCTGTTCCTCCTTCACTCTCTCTCTTGGTTTAGCCAGAAAACCCAGGAGTCCTCAACATCTCTACCTCTCTCGCTTCTGTTTTAAATGACCAAGTCCTGCAGACTCTGGCTGCCCCGCCCTCCCACCGCCAGTCTTTGCTCAGGACCTCAGTGCCTCCTGTTGGTGACCACAGTAGCCTGTCCCCTCTACCTGCAGGCTATGGGTTCCCTCAGGTTCCTTACTGCCTTTGGCACCGCACCCAGAGAGAAAGTTCAAACTCCTGGGATCGCATTCAGGGCGTTTCGGAGTCGCATCCCAACCTCACTCTGGAGCGCCCTCTCCCGGATGTCCCGCCCACGCTCCAGCAGCCACAGTGAACGCTCTCCAGCCTCTGACACCCCGCACCCCACCTGCACCTTTGCACAGGCTGTTCCTTCTGCCAGCCAGGCCTTTTCTTTCCTCCCCTTCCTTGCGAACTGCATCTCGCCAGGTATGCAGGCATCGGCAGTAAGCCCCGAGAGGGACCACCTGGTCTCTCCAGAGCCTGACAGCGCGGGCACAGCAGACGACCCTCCTTTGCATGTGTCTCTCGCACACCTTCACTTATATAACATGGGTTCTATCTGGGCTGCCATTTTTACGGCTGAGAAATGGGAGGCAGAGAAGTAAACTGACTTACCCAAGAGCAGAACTAAGTGGGTAGAGCTGGGTTCCCCACCCAGACAACCGGGCTCCAGAGCCCACTCTGTAGAGCCGCCTCTAACCCTACACTTTACACCGCATTAAATGTTTATTAAATGAATTAACGTAAAACCCATGAACACCCAATGTGAGGAATTATTTGTTGTAACAAATAACTGACTGGTGTCCCCTAAGAGAAGACACTTGCCCTGGAGCCAGCCAGCCCAAGCAAGGCGCTGGCGGACGGGCTGTCTGGCTCAGAGCTGTGGCCTTCTCCTCCCTGCACCGTTCCCCCCATTACCTGCAAGGTAGACACATTTTCCCCTGATGGCCAAGGAGGGGAGGGTACCTCAGAGCCCAGCCCACTCCATGCAACCAACTCACCATGTCAGGCTCCCAGAGGGACTCACACATCCCGTACATCTGTTCGGCACAGGTGCCACTGACCACAAAGTCGTCAGTCACCATGGGGCAGCCAATGAGGTCTAGAGAGCAAATGAAGGGCTTAAAGGTCTTCGGGTCCAACCCAGCAATGACTGGCTCAGTGTAGTAGGGGCCAAACCTGTGGGGCCAGGAGCAGAGAGAAACCAGAATTCGAGAACACTCACCGTTCTGTTCAGGCCTATTCAAACAAGGGCCTGGCCCAGACCCAGGGAGGAAAACGGAGGGCGTGCACAGGAAGGTCCTCTTTCCCTGCGGCCCACTCGGGTAAATTCGTTCCCCTCTCCTGGCATCTGGCGACGCTCCAAGATTTTCCTTCTTTTTTCTCTGACATTTACCTTCACATCCTTCTCACCCCTGACCCTCTCTTCCTCGTATTTTCTTTGGGAATTCTGCTATCTTCTAATCTTCCCTATGCTAATCCAGGTCCTAGCGCCATTCAGTCCTCTATTTATACATCCATACCTCTACTCCTTTCAAAAAGGGATTTGAGGCAGTTTATAAGGAAAACACTGAAAAATAAAATGAAACCACTAAAACAGAATACAAGACACACAGACTGAACACAAGGTTTGTTCTGAGCCTCCTACTAGGCAAGGCAAAGAAGGGTACTCAGTGGGCTGGGCCATTCTGTCTGTCCACACAAACTAGCGGCCTGTCAGAAACTTGTTCTGGACTTTGAGAAGAATCAATCTGAGGGATCGTCACATATAAAATACTTGAAAACTAATGGCTACTATCCTCCATAAAAACTAAGTAAAAAGGCATTATCCGTATCTTATTTTGGCCCTCAGTAATTTTTAAGGCCGTGATTCTAAGTTATACCTCTATAAAAAAGAATTCTAAAAAAATAAGTTTAAGGTAGAGGAAGGGGTTGGGGTAAGGTGCTTTAATTTGGTGTTTCTCAAACAGATCCCTGGCTATCAATTTCTGTAAGAAATTTAAAATTTTGAATTTCCTCTCCATAAGCTGAAAATAAAGCTAGTATAAAAATATCCTGGATTATCTGGGTAACAGTCTTTTTCCTATTGAGTTTATTGGGGCAACATTGGTTGTTTCTATTTTGCTTGCTTATTTTTTTCTGTAGATTCCACATATAAGTGAAATCTGGGTAATAACTTTAAAACCAAATATAACACAGTTCAGAGCCTGCATTTGCATTTCCAATTACGTTGCTGCCAAGGTACCACCCAAAGGTGAGTGTTTAATTTTTCCTACAGCCTTTCACAAACAGAGGCACCTGGATGGATTCTCTGGGGTCAATGAGAAGCTGTTCCTTTAAAAATGGTCTGCACATTGTTCAACTTTGCAAATCACTGCATTAGCCTATCTGGCTGGAAA